GGCGCGTGCGCTGCAGGCCCGGGCTCCCGAACCCGCCAGCTGGGGGCGCCCGGGGCAAATGCTCCTCCTCCTAACGCACTCCGTCTGCACTTGTTGCCACTTGGTGCGGAAACTTCCTCCTACTCCGGGGAACACGTCTTCCCTTGGCGGGGACGTCCCGGAAGGACTTTGGAAGCTTTCTAGATTCTTCTGCAGCTTCTTTCCGGTGGCATCATAAGCACTGGTGTTCTCGGAGCTGGGAGTGTCTGGCGACCATGCAGTGGGCGCGGGCACAGTGTTTGCAGTCCTGGAGCCATCAGGGGACCCGCGTCCTCGTGAGAATGCTGGCTGTCCCCTGGGGAGGGAGGGCCGGTCACAGCAAATGAATGTCATTCCCTGGGCCTTTGATTCCTGAAGAAAGGGAACCACGAAAGAGCATTCTGGCCAGATACCTCTTCTAAGGGCCACCTGTAGGCCCCTTGTGAGCACGTACTGCATCTGCGAGAAGAGAGCGAGACACCTCTAGTGTGCTGCTCAGACTGCCCAGACTGTATCTTGCTTTGTTTTTGTGGGCGACAAGACTTGTAGGGACCGTTTGGGTGTCTGTCTTCTACTTCCTGTCCAGGGAATACTGGTGGTTTGCCTGAGGTCCTCATTAAGTTTTCAGCGGCTGCTCCAAGTCTTCTTTCCTTTTTTACAAAAGAGAACAGCCAGCGACTTGTTTTCTAGGGAAGAAAACTTGGTGTTAGGAGTTTTCCAAGCGTCTGAGAAGAGAGAGGTTCGAATGAGAGTGCAGGGGGCCTGGTCCCCCAGGACCTCAGACCAACTGCCCCCCGTGGGTGATGCTCCTGGTGGCTCGCTGACCTCTCCTTACCAGTGCTTCTGACCACCGCACTGAGACTTACAGAGCCGCCCTCTAGCCGGTCACCAGGGTAAACATCCCCTTCATGGCTAGACTGACTTGTGGTCTTCTTGAAATTCTCCAGATGTATTTCCTGAACTATGGTGGAGGAACTAGCATCTGGAAACCGAGGGTGTGTTCTGATGTCTGCCTGTGAACAAATCACCAGCAGAGCAAGTTATATCTCAGGTATATGAACAGTTGCTGCTTCTTTGTAAATTGTTCGAAAAGGGAAAATGTACTTTGTTTCAGTGAGCACTTGCAAACCCCTTTTGAGAGGACTGTTAAAGTACCCAGCCTCTGTGGCCAGGGGCCTGGTGGCGTGTTCTCTGTCATTCTCTGCATTTTCTTGAGCGCTTTCTTGAAGGCAGCAGATTCAGGTTAGAGGAAGGGTCAGTTCCAGGCTCAGCTGTAGCCTTTGTTTAGCTGCAGACCAATTTCGAGGGTAATTCAGGAAAAAAAAATTGACTTGGGTCATGCTTTGTGGAGGCCAGACCAAAGAACAAGATGACACAGTGAAACCATCATAATCCCAGAATTAATATCATTTTCCTAATTGGGAATTAGTGCTTGCGACACTATGGCTAGAAACAGCCCCCAATAAGTAGTTTTGCATCGTTTAAGAGTAGAAATTACTTTTCATGATTCCTCACTGGTCTCAGCAATTACGTCCACTGAAAATACTGTTGGCAATGTAGTTGGGACTTGGGCACAGGAGGAAAAATACCCTTAGCTTTGTTCTTCTTTGACCAGTAGGCATGGTTAATAAGACCGCTAAACAAACTTTTAAAAAAAACTTTGCTGATGCATTTTATAGATGTTCATTTAATGCACCATCATTTTAGGAAAGTGATTTCAGCTCTGTTTTCTGGCATCTGTGGCAACAAATGTGTGGGTATATCAGAAATAGCATTTGTTTTTATTAAAATACATTTCATTTGCCTTTTGACTCCTCCCTGGTGGAACAGGCGTCTTGCACTTTGATATGTATATGGATTAACAATCTGTCCATTCTCGTTAACTGCCTTTGACTACCTGGGTCAAGCAGTTTCCCACCAGGTAAAACAACTTTCCAAGACGTTTCTACTTCCCTTACTTTACAGTCTTTGTTCTTAGTATATAGTTTGTAAACATTGTCACTAGTAGGGCTTTGGTGCTTTAATTTATCAGGTAAAACAACTTTCCAAGACGTTTCTACTTCCCTTACTTTACAGTCTTTGTTCTTAGTACATAGTTTGTAAACATTGTCACTAGTAGGGCTTTGGTGCTTTAATTTATTGCAGTCTAAAATGATGGACAAAATTAACCAATCTAAAAGTGACCAAAGCAAGTCCACTTACTTATTTGGAAAATTAAAGAAATGTTAGCCTTTTAGTACATTAGATCTGCAGCTACATTAGTTGTCTCTGTGTCTTTAGATTTTGCAAAAGGGAACTGAAATCCAGCAAGTCGTATTAGGAGCCCATTCAGAAAATGAACAAAAAAGCAAATGAAAACAACCCAGAACGAGGTGGTGTATTTTTCACTTTGCGTTTTGTAGGCATAAGTTCCTTCTTTATAATTTGCAATTTTTTCTGAGAGGTGGTGGATTTTCACTTCAGAGGCAAACAATATCATGACAAGACAGCCACAGGAGCCTGCAACAGAAGGAACAATGTGTTGAGAGAGTATTTCCAGATTGTAGGGGAGAGGGAAGAGGATCAATGTGCAAACCAAAGAAAACCTTCCACCATCATCCTCATCTGCACTCTTTTGCAAAAATGTATTATTGCAAATTTGTAACCATGAGCCTGATTCTCCAGTCTATGGGTGGTAGTGTCGGGTGTACGGCCTGGGGGTGGGGGACGGTTAGAATCAAGTTTACAAAGACTGGGAGATACTCCTCTTTGCATGATGTGAAAGATGAATTGCTGGGCACCTTAAAAGCACAATGGCAGAATTAGGCTACAGGGCAGTCACTGGTATGATGTGGCTTCAATAGAACAAATTTCTCTATACTTCAGAGGCCATGCAGAATAAATACCAGTCATGTAGCCCCTTGCGAAAGGCCCCAGGCCTCCCTTCAGAAGGATTACCACGACTCCTCCAGCTCCCACCTGGCCACAGCTGCCCAGAGGAGCGCCTGAGCAAAGGCAGCCATGGAGGTATTTTGACAGAGCATATCTGTTCTCCTTGTTTGTAACAGATTTCAGAGTTTTAGTTGGGCATGTGGCTGCCTTCAATAAAAACAACATTGTTTAGCTGAGGGTATCTGGGAGGTAGGGGCAGAAAAGTTTCCTTGAAGTGTATAGGTATCAGGGCTCTGCCCTTTCTTCCTTAGTTCCTCCTTCCTGTAGCTGAAACATGGATGCAATGGCTGGAGCGCTGGCAGACATTTCAGACCAGGTGGCCGTATGTATTATGGAAAAACAAGAAAAAAGGAATGAGGATCTCAGACACCTGGAGCCACCAGACAAGCCCTAGACTTTAACCTCTAGGTTTTTAGGTGTGAGAAAAATAAACATCTATTTTATTTAATCCACTATTATTATTTCCCACCTCATTTATCACTCATTGGTAGTGTAATCTACTCTTAACAGGTGCAGCTTGTGGTCTGGGTAGGATCTCTGCAGGACAGGGACACTCCACACTGGGTGGAACCTGGAAGCTGTAATGGGTCATCTGCCCTAAGGATGGGTGGATGGCATGGAGGCAGAAGTAGGTGGCAAGAAGGACAGGGTCAGGAGCACAGTGGATGGCCGGGACTCCACAAGGCTTCCACAGCTACTGTTGTATCCCAGTCTGTCACAGTGAGGTTCCAGTTAATAGGAGACTTGCTGAGATCATTTTCTGACTTAAGTCAAACCGATTTGGTTCAAACTTGCGTTACTTACTGTGTGTGAAATTTGGCAATTTTAACCTCCAAGTCTCAATTTCCTCATCCATAAACGTGGTTAATACATATAATGCATGATTAGCATTTGGAGTTGGAATTGACATATAAATCTTACTAACTGGTTGCTATTCCTATGGTTTTTATATATTCCTGTCTTCTTGCAAATCCTTACCATAATCCCTTGATTTAGGTCAAACAAGTTTGGGTTCAAATCCTGATTCCTCCACTTACTTTGTAAAATTAGGCAATTTTAGTCTCCAAGTCTCCACCGTACCCTACATCAGGAAAACCTAACCACATCAGGGTAGGCAATTCAGAAAAATGTATTACAGTGCCTTATTTCTCCAAATACTCTCCCGTTAAGTTTATGACTCCTTTAGGAGGAGTAAGTGATTTTTTTACTCTTCAACTGAAGTTAACCTGAATATCCTGGGAGCAACGACATAGTGGCTTAAGTTCTCATTCATTAATTCACTCATTCATTTCTTCAGTTAGACTTATTACATGCCAAGCACGGGCATAGTGGTGGAGATTTAAACATTAAAGAAAATGCTCATGGTTTCTGTCCTCGCAAAGTGTAATCAGGCAGGGAACATAAAAACAATTATAAACCAATTACAGTGAGAGTAATGTAGGGGAATACAAGGTACTATTACCGAGATGGTGGGCAGCATCATGAGAGTTTCCTTAGAAGTAGCTGGAAGGAGCTGTAGGAAAAGTTAGTGGAGCAGAGGGAGGCTGGACCATGGCGAGAGCATTCCAGGCATGGGGAGCTAGGTACAAACAACGACCCCCGTTCCTTTCCCAAAGGTCAGTTTTGGGTTGGGGTAGAGATAGAGACTGGGTCACGTGGCGGGGGTCGGGGGGGGGGGGG